CTGTGGGTTAGTGAACGTGATTAACACTGCTGAGAAAAACAGATGACCAAGTTCAGTGTCGCTGGGAAGTCGGCGGCTCCGATACCGAGCGCAAGGGAGCTCATCGGCCGTTTCTTGTTCTCAGCTCCTCAGAGCCTTTCGTTACTTTTGTTTCTAAATTGGAGTAAGTGTGGACCTTCCTGCGTCTATAGCCTTTACCTCTGACAACTTGGGTGTAGTTTCCGACTAATGGATGAACTTGTATTTGCCTACACATTTTGTTTTACACTTCAGAATGCTGCCCTTCCCCCTCTAGTATTCCGAGGCGTGAGGAGCACACTTGGACTTCGGTGGTGCCCTCTGGCCCCCAGACCTTCGTCTCTGTGGAGCGACACGGAGTGCGACCTTCGAGGGCTTTCATCAGAAGCGCTTCCTCTGTGTTCCAGCCTCACTTGCTTCTCAGCCCCTTTTCTGGCTCTCAAGGCGCGGGGACCCCACCCCACCCAGTGCACCAGCCACGGGCACCGAGTGGTTTGGACACGGGCAGGGTCACCGGTGTCGTGTTGCTTCCAGTGTCCTTTCTGGTGAGGCCTGCTCTTCTCCGGGCCTCCCGTGACGACACGTGCCGCGTGGGGTCTCCCGAAAGCGGTCTAGGCTGGTTGCACACTAATTTCGTTATAAATAATCCTGTAAAGATGATCTGTGTCCTGTGCATATGGATGTCCTTAGGCCAGATTTCTGAGAGTGGAATCATGGGGCCTTATGCATTGCTAACTCACCCTGTTTATTTGTTTATTTCTCCCCCCCCCCCACCCGGGAGGGTGGTTATAAAACATTTTTTTTTTTTCTTAAAAAGGAGGCCTCTCTGGGGCTGTCCACACGGATGTGTGTGTCACACGGGAGTGAGCCTGAGTGAAGGCCTGAGACATGAGTGACAGGAAATCATGCTGGGGCGTGTTCTGCGAGAAAAAAAAACATCGCTGTTCGTGGCCACAGCCGTTCTCGGCTGAGGCCGAGTCCTGGGAAGTGACACCCCTTCGGGTTGGGACAGGGTCCCTAGCAGCAGGCCACGCAAGCAGGACGGACTTCTGCTAAGTGGCTCCCAGGACAGGCTGTGTCAGTCTGTGTCGTCTTCAGAAGGCTCACTTTGCCCCGTGTCTGCCAGCACCGAGGATTGGCAGGCACCAGGGTGGGTTTGGTAAGCCGAAAGTGGTTCCTCGTGATTTTCATGTATATTTCTCTCATTTGACTGGTGGGCGTTCGGGTTTTTGTTGGTCGAGGTGTTCCTGACGGTTCCCTCCTCTGCTTTTGCAACAGGGTTCGCAGGGGCGAAGGCCTGTGCTCTGCTTGTAAACAGCGCGACGCGTTAGAGCAAAGCTGACAGCCACACGCCCAGGCACCCTGTGAGGCTCTTAGTCACTGCGCCACGATCTGTCGATCGATCGATCGCCAGCGTTTGGGGCTCTCCTTACGGGGGCAAAACAGAAAACAGGACCGGATCTTTGGCTTTAAAAAGCGTCAGCCTTGGTAGTTAACATCCAAAGGTTGGAAATGTTTTCCCCGCTGCCGACGGCGAGCAGCCACCCCGTTCAGCAGCTCTGGTTTTCCGGGCAGAAGACAGCGCACCCACCCCCGACTGCTCTGAGCCAGACCCCGCGCTTTCTCCGGGAGGAGGACATTGTTTTCCTCTGATGTGGTATCTCGCTGCTTCCAGAGTGAGACAATAGGGAGGCTCCCCGCGACTTCCCCCACACCACCAACTACCCCGCCTCCCCACACGCTTTCCCCAGCTCCTTAAAGAGACAAATTCTATTCTGCCTTCTCCTCGGGTTTTTTTTTTTTAATCCCTAGATAGTAAAAAGGGGGTGGAATCAGCTTGTAAAGCAAACACCACACAGGTGTGCCCTTGGTGCTGGGTGCCAAGTGCCGTCACTGGTATTCGGAGTCTTCCCCTCGGCGTCCCGCCCTGCCTGCCTGCCGCGGCGCACGCTCGCTCGCTGTCCAGAGGCGTTAGACTCTGGCTCGGCGCCCTGCGAGCTGCGTGGGGTACAGCTCCTTCACTTTGTCATTACCCGCCATCCTTAGGTAGCTTTGCAATGGCGGGGGTAGGGGATAATTTCATTTTCTGTGAGAACTCTTAAGCAGATGTGGTGTGTTTTGTTGGAGGTTGGGAGGGGGAAGAAACCAGACCCGCAGGCCTGTCGGTCCCAGGAGGCGGTGACAGGTACACCCCGGCCGTGCCACCTGCTTCCCTGTGGTTCTGGTGGTTTTGTCCTTTATTTTTCTCTTTTTAAAATTATAAAAGCAGTCTCTCTGGGAATGTGCGCGCACACACACACACACTTTTGAAAAAAATAACCCACCAGTAACCCCACCACCCTGTGTAATAATTTTTCTCTTTCTTTTAATCTTGACTCAAATGCAGCCTTAGATTTACGTGGTTGTCCTCTGACACGACAACGCTTTGTGTTAGTTTTCTTAAAAAACTTACCACTCTAGGTAATTTCCCGAGTTGCTATGCAGACTTCCTAAGTAGGGTTTTCAGAAATTAAATGCATCGGGATAGCGGTGGTTAATGGCATTCTGTAAACCTGAGGTGCATAGCTGTACGGTGCGACCTCTGTACGCTGCATTGCGTGCTCACCAGCGACGGTCTAGGCTCCTTCCGTCGCCATGGAGGTGACCCCGTCTACTCTCTCCGTCCTCCCCAGCCCCCCCTCCCTCTGGCAGCCACCATTCTCTTGTCCGTGAGTTTGTTTGTGTGGTGCTTTCTGTTTTGCGTGCCGCGAAGAAGAGGAATTCTGTCATTCTTGCCCTCCCTCGTCTGCCTTATCTCATGCTGCACGCTGCTCTCACGGGCCCTCCGCGTTGTCGCCGAGGGCAAGGATTCGTCTTTCTTACGGCTGAGTGGTGTTCCGTTGTGTGTAGGCACCATACCCTCCTTGTCTGGTCTTCTGCGCAGGGACACGTGGCATAATTAGGATTTTTTTTTAAAAGGTTGTTTTTAGAGACAGGGGAAGGAAGAAAGAAAGAAAGAGAGAGAGGGAACCATCAATGTGTGGTTGCTTCTCTGGCGCCCCCTACTGGGGACCTGGCCTGCAACCCAGGCAGGTGCCCTGACTGGGAATTGAACTGGTGGCCCTTGGGTTCCCAGGCCAGCACTCAATCCACTGAGCCACACCAGCCAGGGCTCATAATTAGGATTTTTTCTGACTGCCTTATAGGCTCTCAGTTAGTCAGCCACTCTCTATCCTTGGACATTTACACTGTTTGTGTGTGTCTTTTATGTTATTTTAATAATACTGCACACTTCTGCCTGTAGCTTTTGGGAATTTTTGCTCTGAGGATAAATTTCTGGCAGTGGGCGTCCTGGACCCAAGGATTCCCTACTTGTCTGGTTTCTAGATAGCTGCTCTACTGCTTTCTACAAGAATCGTGTCAGCCTGCCTGGCCGGGTGGCTCAGTTGGTTGGAGCACCATCCCATGCACCGAAAGGTCACAGGTTCATCCTTGGTCGGGGTGTACACGGGAGGCAGCCAATTGATGTTTCTCTCTCACATTGATGCTTCTCTTCCTTTCCCTTCCTCTCTCTAAAAATCAATAAACATACCCTGGGGTGAGGATAAAAAAAAGAAGAAAGAAAGAAAGAGAGAGAGGGAGAGAGAGAGAAAGAAAGAAAGAAAGAGAGAAGGGGGGGAGAGAGAGGGAGAGAGAGAGAAAGAAACAGAGAGAGAGAGAGAGAAAGAAAGAGAGAAAGAGAGAGAGAGAAAGAAAGAAAGGAAAGGAAAGAGAGAGAGAGAGAGAGAGAAAGAAAGAAAGAAAGAGAGAGAGAGAAAGAAAGAAAGAAAGAAAGAAAGAAAGAGAAATGAATGGTGTCGGTCCGTGTCCAGAAACGTTTTCAGTCTAGGCACGGGGTGAGAACTGCGTGAGCACGTAAGGCTCTGGGACGCTGCGGCAGGTACAGGATCCGCAGGCTGCACCCGGGAGGCCGTGGGTTCTCTTCCTCTCCCCGGGGGTTCTGAGACAGCCAGCCTCAGGTTCCACCGTGAGCGTCACAGCGGTTTCCTGCGGAAGGCCCGTGTCCCACCTCTAGGGCCTTGGGTTTCCCCCGCTGCCGCGGTTCTGTGGCTCCGCTTTTCCAGATCGTGGAGGAAACAGGTAGATCTCCTCTTCCTCTTCCTCTTCCTCTTCCTCTTCCTCTTCCCTTTCCTTTCCTTTTCTCTTCTTTTCTAATTAAAATAAAATCCAGGACATCTCCAAAACAGTCCCCTGGCCGATTCGATAACTAGGCGTTTCTTTAAGGGTCCCCTGGCCTCTCGGGTTCAGTGGTCTATTCACCAAATCAGTCACAGTTTCAGGGTGAGCGTGAAGGAATTACGCAGATGCTGATGAGAATGAAAAAGCACCGGGGAGATGATAGGATCTCCTAGAGGGTATTTATGAAACAGCACACGTCCCGGCGACAGCAAATCATTTCAAAGTCAGTTGCATTTTACACAGCCGAAAACCGAAGTTGTACAGAGCTCGCGATTGCTAAGAATTGATTAGCAGAACTCAGAGCCGGGTCACGTATGTGAATCAGAAGTTTGCAGAAGAGAGGAGCTGTTGAGCCGTGTGTGTGTGTGTGTGTGTGTGTGTGTGTGTGTGTTTCAGGGGCCCAGTGAGTGATAGGCCAGTGCGCCCGACCCCGGAGCGAGGCAGCCCCCAGGCAGATGGACGGGCGAACACATGTTTTGTCTGCGCCCTCTCTCTGGCTGTGGGAGTTTCTGGGTGTGGAGGTATAGGGCCTGCCAGGCTTGCCGCTACATAGAAACTCCCCCCCACGCCTCTCCCTGCGCCCCTCGCATTTTGGAAACCTGCTGGGGTGCAGCACAAGTGCGCGACCTCCCGCAGGTAGGGCGCTGTGCGTGGGAGTGCTGCCTGCCTGTGGGTGTGTGTGTGTGGGGGGGTGCAATGAAGAGGGTGCCGGGCCGGGTCCGGTCAGAGCCTGGTGATCCGTTTCTGTTCTGTTTCCGTTCCAGCCCTTGCCAGCGTCCAGCCATGGGGGACATGAAGACTCCAGATTTCGATGACCTCCTGGCTGCCTTTGACATCCCAGACCCCACCAGCCTGGACGCCAAGGAGGCCATCCAGACCCCCAGCGAGGACAATGAGAACCCCCTCAAACCCCCGGGCCTGTGCATGGAAGAGAGCGTGTCCTTGTCTCACGCGGGGTCCGCCTCTGACGTGCCGGCCGTGAGCGTCATCGTCAAGAACACCAGCCGCCAGGAGTCGTTCGAGGCGGAGAAGGACCACCTCGCGCCCAGCCTCCTGCACAACGGGTTCCGGGGCGCGGACCTGCCCCCGGACGCCCACGGCTTGGGCCACAACTGCGGGAAGTTCGATTCCGCCTTCATGAATGGAGACAGCGCCAGGAGCTTCCCGGGCAAGCTGGAGCCCTGCAAGTCGGAGCCGCTGCCGACCTTCAACGAGTTCAGCCCCATCTCCAGCCCGGAGCCCGAGGACGGCATCAAAGACAACGGGTTTGGGCTGAAGCCCAAGCACGCCGACAGCTACTTCCCGCCGCCGCCGCCCGGGTGCGGGCCCGTCGCGGGCCCAGTGCTGGAGGCCCTGGGGAAGTTTCCGGTCCCGGAGCTGCACATGTTTGACCACTTCGGCAAGAAAGAGCCCAAGCCGGAGCCGCTGCCCCTGGGCGGTCAGCAGGAGCAGGAGCGAGCGGCACAGAAGGCAGGGGAGCCCCACAAGGAGCTGGACGCCGGCCGCTTCTTCGGGGAGGCTTTGGACTTCAACAGCCACCCCGGCAACAGCGTCGTGGAGCCCAAGGGGCTGGCGGCTGAGCTGGGGTCCTGCTCGTCCGTCCCCCCGAGGCAGCGCCTGAAGCCGGCTCACTCCAAGCTGTCCTCCTGCGTCGCCGCCCTGGTGGCCCTGCAGGCCAAACGCGTCGCCAGTGTCGCCAGGGAGGACCAGCCTCCTGGCCACACCAAGGATCCCTCAGGGCCCACGAGAGAGGGCTCCAAGGGCAGCCCCAAAATGCCCAAGTCACCAAAGAGCCCCCGGAGCCCCCTGGAGGCCACGCGGAAAAGCGCCAAGCCGTCGGACAGCCCGCGGAGCATCTGCAGCGACAGCAGCAGCAGGGGCTCCCCCTCGGTGGCCGCCAGCTCCCCGCCAGCCATCCCCAAAGTCAGAATCAAAACCATCAAGACATCGTCCGGGCAGATCAAGCGGACCGTCACCCGGATCCTGCCGGACCCCGATGACCCCAGTAAGTCACCGGTGGGGTCGCCTCTGGGGAGCGCGGCTGCCGAGGCCCCCAGCGAGGCGCCCGAGGAGGAGGCCAGCGCCCTGCCAGCCGCGGAGCACTCTCCGGAGGGGGCCGCACGCGCAGGGAGCCCCCAGGGCGACAGGAAGGGGGCCGAGAGCGCGCCCAAGGCCAGCGAACCTGCGTCTCCCGGCGGTAGCTCCGCGTCCCGGGTCCCGGCGGCGGCGGCGGCGGCGGCCCCCGGCTCGCAGGCGGGCAAGAAGCCGCAGCAGAGCGCCGGACTGCCGGCGGCGGCCCCGGCCTCTGCCAACCTGCTGCCCAAGGCCGTGCACCTGGCCAACCTGAACCTGGTCCCCCACAGCGTGGCCGCCTCCGTCACGGCCAAGTCCTCCGCGCAGAGGCGGAGCCAGCCCCAGCCCACGCAGATGTCCGTGCCCCTGGTGCACCAGGTGAAGAAGGCCGCCCCGCTGGTCGTGGAGGTCTTCAACAAGGTCCTCCACAGCTCCAACCCCGTGCCCCTCTACGCGCCAAATCTCAGCCCGCCGGCCGACAGCAGGATCCACGTGCCTGCCAGCGGGTACTGCTGCCTGGAGTGCGGCGACGCGTTCGCCTTGGAGAAGAGCCTCAGCCAGCACTACGGCCGGCGCAGCGTGCACATCGAGGTGCTGTGCACGCTCTGCTCGCAGACGCTGGTCTTCTTCAACAAGTGCAGCCTGCTGCGGCACGCGCGCGACCACAAGAGCAAGGGGCTGGTCATGCAGTGCTCGCAGCTGCTGGTGAAGCCCATCTCCGCGGACCAGATGTTCGCGGCGGCCGCCCCCGCGAACTCCTCCTCCGCCGCCGCCGCCGCCGCCGCCCCCGCGGTGCCGGCCCCCGCGCCCGCGCCCCCGCCCTCCCCCAAACACGGCCCCACCATTCCCGCGCTGCCGCTCTACCCGGACCCCGTGAGGCTCATCCGGCACGGGGTCAAGTGTCTGGAATGTCACAAGCAGATACGCGACCACACGGTCATGGCTGCGCATTTCCAGAGGATGTCGGAGGAGACCGAGGGGCTGGTGAGTGACCTCGCCGGTGGTGGGTGCCCGGCGCCGGTTCACCGGGGGCTCCGCGTGGGGCAATGGGGGTGGTGGGGCGTCTTAGGAGAGGTGTCTGGCTTGATGCTTAGCGACCTGCTGCGACACATACAGTGAAGTCGGTGTTTACTGGGCAAAGCGCCCGGCCCGCACTGAGGGGAGCCCCTGAAGACTTCGTGGGTGTCTAGGGACATCCTCCATGGTCCACTCAGCTGCCGCCCCAGTGCGCTGTTGGGGACCTTGGCAGGCCTGGGCTGGGTCCCTACTGGCTGGTGCAGCCCTCCCAGGTGCTGGGCCCACTCGGGGCAGAGGCCGCGTGGCACCGCCCTGCGCCTCCGTTGGGCCTGAGAACCTGCTGTGGCTCCCCTCTGCTCCGCCCAGCGCGGACGCAGCTCTTTGCGCAGAGTCCCCTGGGGCAGCTGCAGCAGGCCCGGCGGCGGCAGCAGCGGCCGATGCGGAGGGAGGGAGAGCGCACCGACCTGTGAGCCTCTCTCTCCCCTCCGCCTCCGTGTTCTCGCCCCTCTAGCGGAGGAGCTGCGCTCATCTGCGTCCCGTTCTTGGTTACGTTTGATGGGGTCTGAATGGAGTTAAAGGAGAAAAGGGATCTGTGCGGAAAATACCTTTTGACACCCTCCGTGTCAGTGGCTGTGGGTGTCAGCACGGCCCTGTGACAAATCGGGGCTCCAGGCAGGCCTCCAGAAGAAGGCCCCCCTCCTCCTCCTCCTCCTCCCCCCCTCCCCCTCCGTGTGGGAGGAGTCTTCTCACGACGTACGGAGCCCGCCCCCTCCCCAGCCTCCCCCAGCCAGGGCCGCAGAGCCTGGGCCCACAGTGCGGGAGGTCCTCTCCTTCAGTTGGAGGGCGGGGGGCTGCACACGGGCGGGCGCGATGAGCCATGCACGTGCCGCAGGTGCCCACGGCGCGCGCGGGGCCCTGTGCTGAGTCCTGGGTGCCAGCAGGAGGGAGTCTCCTGGTTCCCGCTGGAGCTCACCGTGGCACGGCCGGGACAGGGCTCGCCGCCCCCCGCCGCCCCCCACCACAGCCACCGTGCGTGCAGACGCAGCGTTGGGTTGAACAGCGTGTAGACGTATCTGCAGAGGGTGCCTCAGAGGGACTCAGAGTTCCTCGCATTGGCACAGGCGACATTGGAGCGTGGCAGAGGGGGACGGCAGGGTGTTCGGGCAGAGGAACGAGGGCGTGCGAAGGGGCGGGGCGTGTTTGGGGACGGGGAGTTGTCGGGGGCGGGGCAGCCTCGGAGAGTTGGGGCAGAAACGGGGGGGGGGCGGAATCGGCGGGGCTGTGGGGCCTCTGCGCCTCCAGAAGCGGCCGCAGGGTGCCGTAGGGTCGCTGTTGCCTCTTGCGGTCGCCCCCGTCTCTGCTTTCCTTCCGATGAGTCACGTCGAGTCACGTGTGGCGTGGCCAGCCCAGCCCGCTCCTCTGGGACCTCACGCACCAGCCTGGTGGCCTGGGTCCCAGAGCGCCGCTCCCGAGTCGTGCGCTCAGAACCGCGGCAGCCGGTGGAGGTCTGACGCCTGGGCCTCTGGGTGCCCCCCCCTTCCCCGCCCCCCGCACTGTTCCTCGCCCGCCTTCTGCCTGTGAGCCGGAGCCCGGCTGTGGGGTCCCAGGCCGGCAGGTCCCCTGTGTCATTCCTTCTGCTCTGCTGGGGGCTGGATAGCGGCCCCCCCAGACAGGAAGGGGGACGGTACCTAGGAGCGCCGTCTAGCTTCTCTCAGCCTCATCCTAATCCCTCAAAATCCCCTGCCCGGAAAAGTGGCCTTGGGGTCTCAGAGAAAGGGCAAGGCTGGAGCTCGGGGATCAAAACCTCGCCTGGACGGCTGGTGGGCTTCAGGGTGCCCGCAGTGGCACCCTGGCTTCAGGTGACACCCAGGGCAGGGGGCGGACGGGCGGAGTGGGCCTTCCCTCCAGGGCCGGGAGCCCCCCCCCGCCCCCCCACTGGCCTCCCTGTGCCGTGGCTGGAGGGCCAGTCCTTCCCTGACCCTATGGGGCGCGATGTCAGCACAGAGACTGTTTCTTCCTGTCCTTAATGTCATCGTCACAGCTGACGGATCAGGAACGGTTCCTTAACACGTCCTGATACAAGTCCGTATTCAGGTTTTCCGGTTCGTATCGAAATGTGACCTTGAGTCAAGATCCAGACGCGGACCGCACTTGACGCTGGTTCGGCGCGGGTCTCGGCTTCTCCCCTGCAGCCGCCCCCGCCCCGCCCCGCCCCGCCCCACCCACTCGCACCCGGACCCTCCTTGGGTTTGCTGAAGGAACCGGGCCACGCGTCCCGAGGATTTTCCAGGGCGCCCCTGGGTGTGACGGAGGGCTTCCTGAGAACTTCTCCAGACCCTTTGGGGCGCCCGACGCCTTCCGCCCACGGTTGGCTCGTCCTCCTGGAACGCCACGTTGTAGCCGTGGACTGGAGATGAGCAAGGAGGACCCGACCGGTTTCCGGTTCGGCCCTGCAGGAGCGGGGGGTCCTGTGTTCTTCGAACCTCGTGACTTCGGGGAGGTGCAGAGTGCTGGACGGTCTCGGTTTTAGCGACGCCAGCCTTCCCGGGTGGCCTTTCTGCTCCCTTCACCGAGAAGCTCCCGTCCCTCACCCGGTGCCGTCCACGTCCACTCGCAGTCGCTGCCCGAGTCCGTAACACTGAGAGTCGCAGAGCAGCGTTTTTCTAATTTTATTATTTCCTTTTGTTTGCTAGCTGGGAGTCCTTCTAACTTATCTTTCCCTCCTCCCTGAGGACGGTCGGGTTGCCCCGAAGCATAGTTTATGTCGGGCAACAGGATAAAGACGTAATTCGCTCCCCTCGGTGAACGGTTTTCCGAGGGGGAGGGGTTTTCCCCGGTGGCTGCCTGATTCCCAGTCCCCCCGCCCGGGGAGGGGCTTCAGTCTTGCCCTCCTCTGCACCCACATCTGCTATTTTTTTTTGTTTTTTTAATAGTAGCCATCCTAGTGGGGGTCAGGTGACCCCCCCCCCTATTATTTTCAGTGTTAGTGTTATGATGACCTCATTCATTTTTATGTGTTCAGAATGTTTCTGTATTCATTCCCTTTTTGATGCCCCAGTTATCCCATCGTTGGTCTCCCGGGGCCCCTTCAAGCTGACTCCTTTTGACACGAACACATCAAGAAGCCTTGAGACGCTTCCCTCCCTTCAGCCCCGGCAAGATGCCCTGGGTACATTTCCTGGGCCAGACCTGGACGCATCCATGTTCCCAAGGACCCAGGTTTCTCCCCGTGAGGAGCGGTATTCAGGGGCCACGCTCTGCGCCCCAGAGGTGCTCGGGGCTGCTGCTGGGAACACTGTGTTTCGAGGGTTGTTCCAGTGCCCAGAGCTAAGAAATTACACATTTTCTAATTTTTTAAAGGATTTTATTTATTTATATTTAGAGAGGGAAGGGAGGAAGAGAGAGAGAGAGAGAGAGAGAGAGAGAGAGAGAGAGAGAGAGAAAGAGAGAGGGAGAGAAACATCAATGTGTGGTTGCTGGGGGCCGTGGCCTGCAACCCAGGCATGTGCCCTGACTGGGAATCGAACCTGTGACGCTTTGGTTTGCAGCCCACGCTCAATCCACTGAGCTACACCAGCCAGGGCTGTTTTCCAATTTTTAATAAGAGGAAAGAAAGAGCATGCGTTTGTACTGGTATCCAAATGTTAGAGATTATAGAGTTTTTATGGGACTGATTTTATACTGAAAGTCTTGGTCCCTGCGATTCTCCTGCTACAGACACTCGCGCACACTCAAAGTACCAAGGGCGGGGTTATCTGTAACATTCGGAAGGCGGTGGAAATGGGAGGGTGCACGTGCACTTCTCCTGCCCCCCCCCCCCCACTGCCTCCTGCTGCAGGCGTGCAGGTGGAACTGGTGTGTTTGCACGGTCCCTGGGAGGGACTCTTCTTTTCTTTATGGTCGATACATAGTTACTTGGAGTGTAGTTAGGGTACTTCCCTGGGAGGAATTCTTCTTTTCTTGTTTGCTTGCTTATTTATTTATTTATTTATTTTATTTTATTTTATTTTTAGAGAGGGAAGGGAGGGAGAAAGAGAGAGAGAGAAAAACATCAATGTATGGTTGCTGGGGGCCGTGGCCTGCAACCCAGGCATGTGCCCTGACTGGGAATCGAACCTGCGACACTGGTTTGCAGCCCGCGCTCAATCCACTGAGCTACGCCAGCCAGGGAATTCTTTTCTTTATGGTCGATACATAGTTACTTGGAGTGTAGTTAGGGTCCTTGTTTCTGTTTTTCAATTTTTAGGGGGTGCTTTTGTTTATTTCATCTCTTATCACTTAAAAATCACTTAAGACACTGGATGCCCGTGGTAAAGCCGCATAACGAGGTGTGTCCGGGGAGGCTCTGCCTCCTCCGCCCCTGTCCTTGCAGCCGTTCGCTCCTTCTCCGGGGGCAGCCGTGTTTATTCCCTTTCGGTTTATCGCCGCCTCGCTCCTTTTTTTTGCAAATAAAAGCGAATACGCGTGTGCGACCGTCTCCTCTTTCCTACACAAAAGAGCACACTCATTCACTGTTCGGCAACCACAGTAACACTTAAAAAAAGTGATCATTATGGAAGTGTCCCCAACACCATATAAAAGCAGGGAGAATGACCCCGCGGACTCTCCCGCCACCATCGCCGACTCGCGGCCCATCCGGCTCTGGGTTTCCTTACCCGACCCTCCTCCTCCAACGCACTGCTCCCAAACAAGCCCCGGCGTCCTCGTGTCCGGCTGTCAGTGTGTGCCTCTCAACGGTGAGTGTTTCCCCCCGAAGCAGAGGCACAATATCATTGCATCTCAAAACTAATCATTACTCGTGATCAGATCTTAATAGCAAGGGTCAAATGTCCCGATAACTATTAAGTTAGGGTTTTTTTTTATGATACAGTTAACTTTATTTCTTTCCGTTTTACTTTGTATCCGTTTCAGGTGTGCAGCTTAGTGATTAGACAGTCATATACTTTACACAGTTTTCCAAGTGAGTGGTAGATATAACAATAACAATAATAATGAAAACTTAGTGTCTGATTCCTTTTTTACACTTGGCATTCTTGAATCGGAATCCAAATAAGTGTTACTTGGATTCTGATTGTTGAAAGTTTCTTGTTGAAAATTTCTCTTTAATCTCTTTCAGTCTGTAAATTCCTCTTCCCTTTCTCTCGGTCTTTTTTTCCCTTGTAATTCGTTTGTAGGAAGAACTGGGTTTGTCCTGCCGAGGCCCCATGTCCTGGACTTGGCTGATTAAAGCACAGACCCTGTCCCGGCCCCCCCACCCCCCGACAGCTTGTCCCTCCGCACAGCTGCTCTGACCCCGGTCAGTCGGGGCCCCTCCGCCTGTGCTGTGGGCTGCACAGTTACCCCTCTTTACTGAGAGGGGCCCTGCAGGTGCGGGCGGGCACCAGCTCGGCTGCCAGGACCCTGCCCGTTAGAGGTGCTGTGGGTCTGGCTGGAGGACTTGTGTTCCCTTGGCTGTGCCCCTACCCCCCCGCCCCCCAAAGCACGCAGGCAGGGCTGAGGGAATGGAAGCTGTCAGTGCGTCGTCAGCCGCACTTGGGGCTTCTGCAGCCGGGCGGTCAGGGTCGGCTCAGGTCCCCCGGGAGGTCGCTGACCCATCTGACTGGAGGTGTTGAGCGGGAGGAGCCACCTCTGTCCTGGGGAGTGTGGCCGTGAAGCGACATCTGAGACTTCAGGAAGTGCCTTGGGCCTGTGGGGAGGAGAAGCTGGAAGAAGCGCTCAGAGCCCGCGAGCAGATTAATCTTTGGGGAAAACTGGGTCAGGTGTGTCTCCGAGTAAGAAGGGGAGAGGTGCAGCCTGCGTGGCGAGGTCTGGGGCGCCCCCGTGCCCTGAGACACTTGGGAGAGACAATGGCCGTGGGGGTGGCTCGTGCTGACCCACGTCCGGGGAAAGCCGGCCGCCCGCCCGCCCGCCCGCCCACGACGACCGGACAGCCACGGCGGGCCCGCGGCACCCGCGTCAGCCGCCCCCCCCTGCTCTCTCCTAGACGTGCCCGGTGTGCCAGATGCTGCTGCCCAACCAGTGCAGTTTCTGCGCGCACCAGCGGACCCACACACACAAGTCCCCCTACTGCTGCCCGGAGTGCGGGGCCCTGTGCCGCTCGGCCTACTTCCAGACCCACGTGAAGGAGAACTGCCTGCACTACGCCCGCAAGGTGGGCTACAGGTGGGTGCTGCGTGGCCCGAGGCCCGGCCCGGCCCTCCCCGGGGGGCCGCGCCCTCTCCTTCTCCCGCTCCCGCTCCCGGGCCGGCCCTCGTGTCAGCCTGAGCACGTCCCCAGGGCCCTGGGCCCCGGCCTGCTAAGGCCGAGTGCGTCGGTGGGTATGTGGACGGACGTGTTTATTTTCTAGAGAGCAAGAGGGAGAAGAAAAAGAAGTTTAAAAAAAATTTAAACATGAGCAAAAATAGCTTTGAAGGGGGAGGATTTGGGGAGATGAGCGTATCCGGAACATTCGCTTTGTCAGCTTGGTTTTTAACAATATATATACATTTCACTGGATCCCAGACTGACTGCGTTGGGCATATCAAATTCGAAGTAACTATTGCGACAGTGAAGTCGCCGATCGCAGCACCTGGGAACGTTCTCTGTTCCCATGAGCCGGGGGCGCTGCGAGACTCCCACCTCAGGGGCTCCGGGGCCTTCGCGTTGGTTGGTGTCTGCCCGCTCGTGAGAAGCTCGCAGAACCCGAGAATGGAAAAAAGGATCAGCCTCACAGTAAAAACAAGAAAAGCTGACTGCAGACGGAGTCTCCTCCATTGTGTCAAATGGATAGAAGCAATAAGTCATGTTCAGGGAAAAAGGTCAAAACGGGGGGAGGGGGAGACGCTCTCCAAGCTCATCGGTCTGTGCCTTCCACGCCGACCCGGTCAGGCCCCCTGTGCGGACTGGCTGCAGCGGGGAGTTTCTGCGTCTTCCTGGTCCGCTTTCACTCCTGAAACTTCGTTTTGCCCAAATTTAGTAAGGTTTCTTTTTTTTTTCTCTTTGGCATTTAAAAAAATTTATTGATTGAGGTCAGTGCCAGGCACCAAAGATATAAAGATGATGGAGACGCAGCCCCGGTGCTCCAGGAGGCTGCAGCGTGGTAGGTGTTACACCCACGTGCACCGTACGTGTGACTCCGAGGGGCCAGTCGCACAGCGGAGGAGCAGCCAGGAAAGCTTCCTGGAGGAGAGAGCAGGAGCTTCGGGCGGAAGGAAGGGAGAGGGGATGCCTGGCGAGGACGAGGGCGGGACGCCAGCCCGCGCAGAAGGGGCTCTGGGGAGATCAGCGTTTCTGTGGAGGCAGGTCAAGTGCGGGGGGGGGGGGGGGGCGGGCGGGGAGTGGCGAGAAGTGAAGCCAGGAGCTGGTGCAGGCCAGGCCCTGCCCGACCTTGTGCTCCGTGGTAGGCGTTGGGCCTCTGTCCAGCCGACACTGAAGAGCTGCAGAAAGATTTGCAGTGTGTGTGTGGGGGGCAGTGATTCGGCGAGATCGTTTCTGACACTGCGCGTCGGGAGAGGGGAGGCTGGCTGAGAGGCAGGTGCGGCAGTCAGGCGAGACGGCGAGACGAGACGCCGCGGGCTTCTGCTCGGGCGTGGTCTTGGGATGGGGGTCAAGGGGGAGTGGAGACAGATTCGGGAAGTGCAAGCATCGGGGCTCCAGGGCAGCTCACAGACGGGGGTGAGGATGCGGACCCCTGGGTTTCTGTCCCGGTACAGACGTTTCCAAATGTGGACTGATTGCTTCGCATGGTGCGGAGGACAGAGGACCTAAAGGGCCTGAGAAACCAACCAGCCAGTGGCGGGGTCGTATGCGGCCCTTGCCGCCGTGTTGCGGAAGGGCGGGCGCTGGCAGCCTCCCAGGCTGCCTTTTTAAAGCACACACCTGACGAGCGTTTCCAAGGTCCCTGGACACCTGAAAATGCCTTTCTGACTTTGACTTAAGTGTGTGCTGCGTCTTCTAAGACCCACTCCAACCCAGTAGACATGCAAGGAAGGCAACACTTCGATTTTTATCTTTGAATCTTGAACCCAAGAAATTTCCAGTGCCGCAGGTGGAGTAACAGGTCTTTGTGTTTTTTTTTGTTTGTTTCTAATTACTTTATTTGACTTTCTTCTGTAGGAAAAAACAAACAGTCTCAAAAGCAATTTAGTCTTTCAAGGGTTTTTGTAAGGAATCTCAGCCAAAAATGTATTGAGATTCAGCCACAGAGTGGGATCCCGAACATAACGGGCGTTCAAATCTTCAATTGATTGTGGGGTTCCAAAAACACACACACTGATACACTATTCACTGCGGTTAAGATCTGCTACTATTAATATGTTTTTGGTAACAGCTTTATGCACATGTAATTTACATACCATACAATCCACCCACTTAAAGCACGCAGTCCAGTGGTTTTCAGTATATTCTGAGTTGTACCATCACCATGAGCAAATTAGAACACTTTCCAAAGAAAATTTTTTTTTAGAATACTTTTATCACCCCGCAAAAACCCTGCGATAGTCACACCTTCCCAGCCCGCAAACAACCACTGATTTACTCTCTGTGTCTTTTAGACTTGTCTCTCGGATGATCCCTATACATGGACGGTATAGTATGTGCTCCTAGCATGCTGTTTTCGAGGTGCATCCATGCCCTCATGGATATCCGATACTTCATTCCTTTTTCTGGCCGAACGATGTTCCGCCACACGTGCACACTGCCCACCGCTGACCGGCGCATCCGTCGGCAGCCGCCTCTTGTCTGCTGCGGAAAACGCTGCTGACGAATATTCACGGCCGAGTTCTCGTGTGGATAGGTGTTTTCAGTTCTCGCGGGCACATGCGCAGGAGTAGAATACCTGGGCCATACGGTCACTGTCAGTTTAACTTTTTTTTTTAAAGATTTTATTTATTTATTTATTTTTTAGAGAGGGAAGGGAGGGAGAAAGAGAGAGGGAGAGAAACATCAATGTGTGGTTGCTGGGGGCCGTGGCCTGCAACCCAGGCATGTGCCCTGACTGGGAATCGAACCTGCAACACTTTGGTTTATAGCCCACGCTCAACCCACTGAGCTATGCTAGCCAGGGCAGTTTAACTTTTCTGAGCAACAACCAGGCCGTCTCCCAGAGCGGTTGTGCCCTGCTTACTTTCCCACCAGTGGGGGGTGAGGGGCCTGATCACTCCACGTGCTCATCGACACTTTTTCAGGTCTGGCTTTTGATTCGAGCCGTCCTTGTGGGCGTGACTGCTGTCTCATGGTGGTTTTGGTGTCCTTTTTCCTGAGGGCTTATGGTGCTGAGCATCTTTCTATGTTGGGGTTGGGTTGGGTTTTTTTTTATATCTTTATATCTTTTTTGGAAAACATGTCTGTTCAAATCTTTTGCCCATTTTCAAATTGGGTTAATTGTTGTTTTGTTATTGAGTAGTAAGAGTTCTTTATATATTCTGGATGCAAGTCCCTTGTCAGATACATGATTTGCAAATATCTTCTCTTGTTCTGTAGGTATTCATGTTTTTAAATAAATCCTCCAAAGGTGCCTATTCTGTTTCCTTTGGCTCTACTACAGTTTTACAATATTACTTTGTTTTATATTATTTTTGCTTTTTCTTGAAGACAATGTATAAAGCCTGTACATTTCATAGATATTTTTATGTTCATGTTTTATGTGAAATGCATATACATTTTACATATATACTTAGAATCGTATACATTATTTTGCCGTTTGTCGATAATTTGGAGAGCGGCCAATGATGTCATAAGGGAACAAGTTTAGACTGTTCTAAACAATATGTTATTTTTAAGTTATTTGTGATTATTAGCAAAGTTTTTTTTTTTTTACTGCTCTCCATCTTTTCTAAAACTGCGTCTCTCACAGCACACGCTTCTCTCACTGTCTGTCTTCTCTTCGGAGAAGTGGGTGCAGAGCCGGGCTGTGGGGCTGGGTTTCTCCTCCGCCCGGTTTTCATCCGTTTGCAAACCCTGCTCGATCCCGACCTCTGCCGAGGTTGCTCGGTGCGCGTTCCCCGGCCCCTCACGTTCCTCCTCTCGGTGCGGTCTCCTCGGTGCGGTCTCCATGAACGGCATGTCTCCAAGGGAGCTCGGCTGTGTTTCTGGTTGCATTTCTGAAGAGGGTATTTGTGCTGTTCCTGTGGAAGTTCGGTCAACCTGCCCAAATAAGGCCGCGTATACCAGGTGCGCCTGGCCACTGTGGATGAATTTGGAAACGTGTGTATTTTTTTTTCTCTTGCGAATACCTTGTGGTATGGAAGGTTCCCCCGCTCTGTGTGCTAGAAGTCAGTCGCTACGTCGTTGAACTGGAGAGAAGATTTAACTGAGTCAGGAGTTTGCACAGACGCCACAGCACGCACGGATTCAGTGGTGACCGTTCCTCCGAGGCCACCGCGAACAGCTCCCTGGTTCTGTGGGCTGCTCCTCGCTGCTCGTGAGCCTGCAAAGGCGATGACGTAACCCCTGGTGTCTCCTCCAAACGCAGACGCACGAAAGGAAGAAAAACAAGAACGTCGGTCAGGATTCCGTGATGATTTATGTGGATTGCGAAAGTGGGCTCGCAGAGAGACTCGAAGGGAAATGGGTGGGGTCAGAGGATTCTTCGGGGAAGGCGTGTCCTTCCTTTCATGCGGCCTCAGCCTGCCCGATGCCGAGGTTCCGGGGCAGCCAGTGCTACAGGCGGCGTCCCCACAACAGGAAGAGCAGAGCTGTCTTCTCAGACGAGGGAGGCCCCAGTGTGTTTCTGAGCAGGAGGAAGGACGGAACACATGTGAGGGTGTCGGAAGCTGAGTGGACGCAGGTCACATACCGAAGAGAGGAAAGGCCGCATGTTAAGAGAGAGATTTGAAGTTGGAAGGAGGAATCTTTGCTCTGGCTCAGTGGATTGAGTGCCAGCCTACGAACCAGAGTCTCAGGTTCGATTCCCAGTCAGGGCAGGTGCCTGGGTTGCCAACCAAGTCAGGCCCACCAGAAGGGGGCGCTCGAGAGGCAACCACACATTGATGTTTCCCTCTTTCTCCTTCCTTCCCCTCTCTCTAAAAATAAATAAAATATTTTTAAAAATAAAAAAAAGAAAGGAGGAGTCTAACATGGCCTCGACCGCAGAAAAATGGTTTCAGACGGTTTATACATCATAAACAATGACATAAGTAGGCATGGATAGGGGAGAGACAGAAACAAAAGTGGTCCATGGACCCACCGAGGGGGCGTCACAACCCTTAGGAGCTGCACAGCGCGGAGCAGCCCCGGCCCCGGCCCCGGCCCCGACCCCAGCCCCAGCGTGTGCAGAGCACCTGCAGTGCGGCGGGTGCGGCCGGCCGCTCCCCCGTATGAACTGGGACGAGAGCAGCGTCGGGGACAGTGCGGCAGAGCACGTTCCGCCCGCACAGCGGATGCCGCCGCGCGGGGGCGCTCTGCAGTGTCTCTCCCTGGGCTGTGGGCTACTCGCTCCAACGCGGCTGCTCCAGGGAGCATAGGGTTTCCTGGCCGTTTCTCGTCCCGCAGCCTTAGCGCCGACCAGGGGAGGGCACACCTTTCCGCAGCCTCCCGACGCTGCTCTGCTCCTGGACCCCTGCGGCGGTGCCGCAACAAACGGGTGCTGTTCGTGTCATTTTGGGGCCCCTCCCTTCCTTCTCCACCCCACCGACTTCTCTTAGCTGGCCTGAAGTTTTTGGTTTGCAGAAGACTACCCTCTGGCCTGTGAAGGGAGGGGAGGGTTTCTCCCAGCTTTTCCACCAGGTGTGGCCTTGGCCTTGGGCCACCCTGGGCGGCCCTGGGAGACCGCATCCTGCCAGACGGCAGCGGGCAGGCTCTCAGGACGCAAGGCTGAGCGCTCGAGGGCGTGTCTCGAGAGATGCCTCTGTTCCTGCCCTCCATCTCTCCTTTCCCAGGCCCACCTCTGGGTGTCTGACCTCCACCCCCCACCCCCACCTTTTGTCATTCAGGTGCATCCACTGCGGGGTTGTCCACCTGACCTTGGCCTTGCTGAAAAGCCACATCCAGGAGAAACACTGCCAGGTTTTCCACAAATGTGCTTTCTGCCCCATGGCCTTCAAGACTGCCAGCAGCACCGCGGACCACAGCGCCACCGAGCACCCCACCCAGCCCCCTAAACCCTCCCAGTGAGTGCTGCTTCAGGGCCAGCAGGCCTGTGGGGCGTACCCCAGTGGCCTGGGTGCTGCAGGGGGAGGTGTTGGGGCAGACTGCGAGCCAGGCTAGCGGCAGAGGTGTCTGGAGCCCCCCGAAGACATCCTGAGGCCGGGGGGGTATCCACACTGGTCCGGGGGGAGCAGAGCCGGGGTGGAGGGCCGTGCGGTTCTGCCGCAGAGCCTCGGCCGCCTCACGCCCTGGGGCTTGTCTTGCAGGCTCATGTACAAGTGCTCCTGCGAGATGGTCTTCCACAAGAAGAGGCAGATCCAGCAGCATTTTTACCAGGACGCCAGCAAGGCGCAGGTGGGCGTCTTCAAGTGCCCCGAGTGTCCGCTCCTGTTCCTGCAGAAGCCGGAGCTGATGCAGCACGTCAAGGTGGGCGTCCCGGGGGAGGAGGCCTGGGGGGGTGGGCGCGCGCGCCCCGAGCCGGGGGTCTGACTCTGTGCCTCTTTCCCTCGCCCAGTCAGTAACCGCTCTCCCCATCCCCAGAGCGTCCACGGGGTCCCCCGCAACGTGGAGGAGCTGTCGAGCCTCCAGTCCTCGGCTGACACGGCCTCCTCCGGCCGCCCCGGTTCCCGAGTTCCCACCGAGCCCCCGCCGACCGGCGTGGCTGCCCGGGGTAGCTCGCTGCCGTCGGGCCGCTGGGGCAGGTCCGAGGCCCATCGCAGGGCAGAGGGCAAGCCCCGGCTGAGGAGCACAGGCTGGACCTGCCAGGAGTGCCAGGAGTGGGTGCCCGACCGGGAGAGCTACGTGTCCCACATGAAAAAGAGCCACGGTCGGGTAGGTGCGCCCCGGGGGTGGGGGGGTCCGGGCGCTTGGGGCAGGGCGGGCGCTGCACATGCTGAGGTCCGCGCGGCGTCCCCCTGCCTGCCCCAGTCGTCCGAGGAGGAAGGGGCGTGCAGAACCGTCGCGCGGTGCTGACGTTCTGCTCTCCGGGGCCCCCTGCAGGCGCTGAAGCGGTACCCGTGCCGGCAGTGCGAGCAGTCCTTCCACACGCCCAGCAGCCTGCGCAAACACATCCGCAACAACCACGACACCGTCAGGAAGGTCTACACGTGCGGGTGAGTGAGTCTCCGCAGCAGCAGGGGGGGAAGCCCGGAGGCCCGAAACCTGAAATCTCTGTCCGCGGCTCGTCCAGGGACTTCTCTCTGCTCTGAGATCGGGGGTCAAAGGCCAGAGATGAGCGAGTTTCTAAATGGAAAATGCTGTGGCTAGGTCAGAAATTGGGGCAGGTCGGAAACCAGCTTCCAGAACCTGGGGGCTCCCGCGGCCCCCCCCCACCGTCCCGCCTCCCTGACCCCGGGCTGCACTGCCCGTCAGTGGCGAAGGGCCCTGGGGCTCACGTGGGCGGCGGTGTGACCGTGAGCCCCCGCGGCGCCGCCTGCCTGTGCTTCAGCGCGCATGCGGCCTCCTGTGCTGAGGCCCCGCCCAGCGCTTGGGCCTCTGGGTAGTGACGTCAGGCGGCGGAGGGTAAGCTCGTGACCCGGACCCCGGGCACACGCTCCCACTTGCCGTCGTCGGTCGGGCTGCTGCTTGCCGGAGGGACTTCTCCGGGGAGGACCCAGCGCCCCCAGCCGGCCCGAGGACCACCCTGCCCGCTGCCCGGCTGCGCCAGGCGCTGTGCCCGGGAGCCAGCAGCACTATCCACCTCCGCCTCCCGCTCGGGCCGCTGGGCGCCGGGGCGCGTCCTCTCACACGCTGGCCTCGGCTGCCCCCTCGCAGGTACTGCACGGAGGACAGCCCCAGCTTTCCTCGGCCCTCCCTCCTGGAGAGCCACATCAGCCTTATGCATGGAATCAGAAACCCCGACTTGAGCCAGACGTCCAGCATCAGACCTCCGGGCGGGCACTCCCCTCAGGTGAGTGCAGGGCTCCTGCCTGGCGCAGCGGCGGCTCAGTGAGGCCTGGAGCGGGGGGGGGAGGCCCACTGGGAAGGCCACAGGGCACCCGAGTGTCGTCGTGGCCATGCCACAACCGGCGGCGACAACGCCCCCCCCCCCGTGCGGGTGAGCCCAGTGGGACCCCCGGGACCGCACACAGGGGAAGGACAGGGGCCCAGGCCGTGAGGCAGCCCGTCGGCCTGTTGGACCTGCGGTTTCCCGTCTCCGTGAGCCCCTCCTCAGGGGGGCGGGCTGCTCTCAGTGACGTGGGAGAGATTCCGCGTGTACGTGCCTGCTTCTGCCTCAGTCCTAGCAGTGGGCGAGGGGGCTGGCCGTCGGGGGACGGTGGCCAGACTCGGCTGGCCCCCCAGCACCAGCTGTGGGAGGAGCCGCACCCGGACGGACCCCTGCTGTGCTGACCCCTCGTCCTGCCCTCATCCTCGTACCGCGCCCATTCCCGGTTCAGCCCGGGGAACTTCGGCAGCTGCCTGGCCTCCGTCCTCACCGCAGCTTCGGCCCCGTCCCACGCAAGGGGCCAGTCCTCGGAGGGCGCTGGCGCGTCTGGGACACGCGGGGAGCACCTGGAGCCCCAGGACGTCCCCTCTGGGCTGCTCAGAGCAGGTGTCTCCCTGGGGGGCGAAGGCCCTTCCCCTCCCGGCAGGCGGGGCGTCGTTGGCATTTTGGCCACATCTGTCTGCGATTAAAATGCACCCCCTCCTCTTCCCTCCAAGAGCGCGCACCCTTTGGTGCAGCAGCAGCCAGCTGCCTGCCTGGCTTTATCTGTCGGATACCTTGGGCCGTGGGCACAAGGCAGGGTGCTAAGGGTGTTCAGCGCAGCGCTGTGTGCGTGGCAGAGATGGAGCCCGACTAAGTGTCCGCCAGCGGGGACCGTCCAGCCCTGTGGTGGGTCCGTGTGCCGCCGTTAGGGAGCCAGGGCCTCTGGCTAAGCCTCACGGAGACGGGGGGAGGGGCCAGCCATGTTGTGCCACGAAAGGGGCGGGGCAGAGGAAACCGCACGTCATCGCTTTGTAAAAGGCGGCGGTTTTACTTCCATGCCCAGGTAGACTGCCTCTGGGAGGAGCCACAGGGCCTGTGGGATGGGGTGATCTCTGGAGATCAGGCGGGGGGCGTGGGCTGGAGGGACGTGATCTCCATGCCCTTTCTGTGTCTTTGGAATGTAGTGCCACAAGCATACTTTACTTTAAAAAAAGAAAAAAAAAATACCAACCCAAACAAACCCAAGCCAGACCGGTGGTCAGGGCCAGGGTGACCCTGGCCTGGGCGGCAATTCCAAGAGGCCTTGGGCGGCACTGTTGTGTCTGGGAGCTCCTGCCGCGGGCCCAGCGCGGCCTGGACTCGGCTCACGCTGTGTCCCCTCCAGGTGAACCATCTGAAGAGACGGGTCAGCGGGGCAGCGGACGCTCCGGGCACCAGCAACGGCGTGACCGTCTCCTCCGTCAAGAGGCACAAGTCCCTTTTCCAGTGTGCGAAATGCAGCTTTGCCACGGACTCGGGGCTCGAGTTCCAGAGCCACATACCTCAGCACCAGACGGACAGCTCCACGGCCCAGTGCCCGCTCTGCGCCTTGTGCTACACCTCCGCTGGCTCCCTGGGCCGCCACCTCTTCATCGTCCACAAGGTGAGAGAGCAGGAGGACGACGAGGAGGAGGCCGCGGAGGAGGCGGAGCCGGAGGAGGGCTCCGGGGAGGAGGTGTCCATGGACGCCAGGGAGAACGGACTGGAAGAATGTACTGGCGAGCTTTCGTCAGGTGACCCAGAGGCCCGAAGATCGCCAGGCCCGGCCCCCGAGGAGGACGGTGCCCGGGAGGCTCAGAGTCAGCCACAGGCCTCCCGGGATCAGGACAGCCACGCGCCGTCCCCGCAGGCGTGACCGGAGGCTCGCGGTGCGTGCGGTCGGGTGTGCTGTGGCGTGCCGCTCCGGCCGTGCGGACCGGGACGTGGGGGAGACCAGCTGCTCTGCCCGGTGTGAGTGTGGCAGAGGGGCGGGGCCCTGGGGTGGTGCCCGCCCCCCGAGCTGCAGGGAGCCGGGTGCGCCCCGGCCCCAGGAGGTGTGGGCTGCCCCGGAAGCTCCCAGATCTGAATTTACTTCTGTTATTTATGGCTTTGTGCTGCTTCCCGGAACCCTGACTCTCGTCCGTGTCCTTCCAGCCCCGGCGCTGCCCGCTCCGCTTGAAACCGCTCAGCGGCCGCGCTCTTCGGGGAGGCTCCCCACCTGCTGCCGGCAACCGGGGGCCCCAACGAGCTGTCTGGGAGGCCAGAGCCTGAGGAGGGGGGGATGGGGGTGGGGGGGAGGGCGGGCTGCTGCCCTCCCTCTCGGAGTGCTCGGCCTGGCCTGGCCGTGGCCGCCTTGCCCTTCCTTCCCGTTTCCTCTGATTCCTCCCCCGAATGACAGTCCCGGAGGGTGGCTTGTGTCACTGGCCCATCCTGTCCGCGTGGGGAAACTTCGGCAGCAACCCTCCCCCACCCCCTTGTGGAGCCCCGGGGGAGCAGAAGTGCGTGCGCCCCGGCGGGCAGGCGGGCAGCGAGAGCAGACCCCTCGGAAGGGGCGTGCGTCCCGCCCTGCTGCTGCCCCGCCTTTCCCGAGGAGCCGGGCGTGGGGCACGCAGCCGCTGGGGTGTTTGTCCTCGCCCTCCTGTGCCGTTAGCGAGGCTGCCACCCCGGGCAGGCCGCCCCGGCCTCTCGGTTACACTCGTGTTGCTCAGACTATATTTCAAATAAAAAGTTCTTCTTACCACGCAGGTGGGCTCTTGTATTCCTCTTCAGGGGAGCCTGGCCCCACCCTGCTCCCCCCAAGGGTCCTTCCCAGATGTCCCACCCCCTCCCTGTCCCGTTGCTGAGGCAGAGCAGCGTTCCCGCCGTCCGAGGAGGGTCCTCTAGGTCCTGGAGCCGTGGCCAGGAAACCAGGAGCCTGGGGCGCCCCGGTTCTCCGCAGACGTTCCGAAGGGCAGGGGGCACGTTCCATGCTGGTCCGGAGTCACCACCAGGGTTCCCCGGGGCGAGCGGCACCGGCTTCAGGGCCTCCTGAAATTTTCTGGGCCCCCCCATCTCTCCTCCAAATTGATTTTCAACCTAAGGGAGCCCTCCTGGAGGGAGGCATTCTCGAGTTTTCCTGCAGTGTTCAAGAGGCCTCGGTGTGACGGAACCGGGGTCGGACCCTCGAGGCAGGGCTGTCTTCCCGGGTGGCGGAGTTAGGGCCTGACCCAGCACGAGGAGCAGGCGAGGTGGGGGGTGCCCTCTGCCCCTTGGGGTGTCTGCAGCCCTGCCTGGCTGGAATGTGGGGCCAGGCCCGAGAGGATATGGGCCCACCGAGGTCTTTCCAGGGAGGCACTGAATACCAACCATAAATTATTCAGTCGGGTAAATATGCTTGATGTTTTTTCACAACTGAACACAAAAATCCTTTCCTCTGCGAAATGCCCTGTTTTTTAGTGGAAAGGCTAATGGCCCCGGGAAAGGTTAGCGCTTGCTCTGGCTTCGGAGAGACCGCAGTGTTTGATGGCTGCTGTGCCTGGCGCGGCCTCCCTGCCTCTGCTCCCCAAGGAGGCCGCGAGGGCGAGCCGGGCCTGATGCCGGCCGCCCGCAAGGCCAGACAGAGCTAGCCCCGACTCCCGTGTCCTCCCTTTCCTCACTCCAGCTGCGGGGTGCCCACCCTGCACCCTGGCTCCATTCCTGCCCAGAAACAGTAGTAACCTGGAGGGGGAGGAGGTGGTGACATCCCTGGGAGCGGCGGGGAGTGCAAGGGACGCCCAGGGCCTGCCCTTCCCCATCTCTGCACGGAGCCCCTGACTTCACCGGCCCCGCCCCTTCCAAAGCGAGGTGGTCATGCCCATCCAACTCCATCCCCCGGCTTTCGTGCGATGATGAGTGTGGAAGCATTTTCCAGTTTGTGAAACACTAACGTGAAGGGTGTGTCACGTGACTCCAGGGCGCGCAGGGGAGAGGGCGCCTCGCCTGCCGCTCCCACTGGGGTGTCTGTGGTCAGTCACGATCCGCCCCGCCTGGGACACCTGTCCATTATTTGGTAACCCTGACAACAACAGCGCTTTCAGCCCCGCCCCTGGTCTCACGAAATCCTTTCCGGCGGTCTCACGGAGCCCCCCGCAGTGATCGCCCCGTCATCGTCGTCCTCCACTGGACAGAGAAGAAAACTGGGCCTCGGGGCAGTTAAATCCTTCACTGGGCCACCTGGACGCCACGGTGCTGAGTCAGGCTTGTCCAGTTCTCAGTCCAGGGTCTCGACCACTGTGCGGCCTTAGTCACCCAGCTGCTGTGGCCTGCGGCCAGCGCCTCCAGACATCCACCTTCCTACCTCCCCTGCGGCTGGAGCCCCAGGCTCTCCCCGGAGTCACACTGTGCCTTGCCACCCCCGAGGAGGGCCCCGCGAGTCACCTCCGCTCGTGACAGAAGCATAGGCAGTGTCTCTGTGCCCTTGGACTCCCACTTGGATTGAACTTGCCACGCGAAGAGCATCCTTTCTTGCTGGGGGGGAGGGGCGTCCCAGAAAAACCTGCTTGGCCTTCACAGGGAACGTGGTTCCCTCGGGTCCGGGATCTTTTGATCTTTTCTTTTTTTTAAGGTGTTTTTAAATGGTTGCGCTATCATCTGTTATCAGAAAAGGCTTGCTGTAAGCACTTGTCTGCACATTAGCTGGAGTGCTCTCCTGATCGAGTTAACCAGATAAAATTCCCACCCTCATAGAAACTCCAGTTTACTACATGCTGAGGCTTGACAAATGACTAGTATTTATTTTCCAACTGCTTTATCTCTGTAAAATGATACGCCGAGTGACTAGCAGCTCATTGAGTGTGTAGAAAGAACTGTCCCCTTAACTTATGTAAACAGTCTGGGTTTTGAAAATTTAACACTCGTGGCTCAGCAAGTTCAACACACTTTGCTTTCCCCAAGACTGAGGACCCTACGCCCCGCCCCCCTGTTCACCGCTGCGTATTCAGCACTGAGCACACCTTATTTTACTTGTTTTTTAGGTTTTTTTGTGTGTGTGTTTTTGAAAAAATTAATACATATCCGTGGTAAGACATCCAAATAATACAAGAGTATATATAATGAAAAAACACGTAAGCTCCCTAACGGAGGTCAGCCTCCCATGCCCCGTCCCCTCTCCGGAGTTGATTGCTGTTATCTCTGTCTTGTGTATCGTTTCTGAGCAATTCTATGCATTTACAAGTTTATAAATATGTATATTTATATATCTATTTTTAATACAAATGATAGCATTCTATACACAGTGTTCTGAAGCTTGCTTTTTTCACTTAATGGAGGTGGTTCCAGATTCATCGGGGGGGCCAGTCTCATTCTTTAGAAGTCCCCAGCACAGTCCCTCGGGAATATTCGGTAGTAGTTCGCAGAGTGTTTGAGCAAATGAATGAATGAATGCGTGAGTGGGCGAGTCAGATTTTCTCAGGATCTTCTAGATGCTAGAACATGCCTCCCCCCGTGCACCCTCCCCCGCCTTCTCTAAGGGACGCAGGTCACTGCCAACCTTTCCCACCACCCGACAGCAGCCTTAGGACCTGGGAGCAGAGAGCCCAGGTCCCAAGGATGGGATTTCTTTGAGGGCTCTATTTAAAATTACTTTTTCTTTTTTTTAAAGATTTACCACATCGTTAATTATTTGTATTAGTTTACTTTTATTTTTGAAGATTTTATTTATTTATTTTTAGAGAGGGAAGGGAGGGAGAGAGAGAGAGAAACCTCAATGTGCGGTTGCTGGGGGCCGTGGCCTGCAACCCAGGCATGTGCCCTGGCTGGGAATCGAACCGGCGACACTTTGGTTCGCAGCCCATACTCAATCCACTGAGCTACGCCAGCCAGGGCTTAAAATTACTTTTTCCTATTGGAAACGATACAGAATTTTTAGAGAAATTTTTTTTAAAAAATGCCTATTTATAATCCTATCTTACCTTTGCAGTATTCATTTCTGCACGATCACTTCTCCGTCCTTGTTCAATTTATAGCTTACGTTTATGGTAGGACAGTCGTGAACACCGAACATTTGTATACGACGGAGATTATTCTCACATTCATTCTCTTATTTTGCCTCATAATAAGCCTGTGAGACAGATACTGTCGTTGCTCCTTTGGGGAGTCGGAGCGGCTGAGCAGTTTCCCTGATGCGACAGAGCGAGGGGGGGCGGAGCTGGGGCTCGCTCCCTCGGCTGTGAATGGGTTCGTTCACTGCCCTGGCCTGGGTTCTGTACCCCGCGTTTTCCTACCCGCGTTTTCCTACTTGACCTCACGTCTGGGATGTTTTGTTGTTTCTCCACAGTCGTTTAATCATCCTTTTTACACCCGCATCATTTACTTTCCTGTTTACACTGGAATGCTCCGCTGTGGCGCTGCCGGGAGCGGGGCGGAGCGCACAGCTTCCCCCTCTGCAGGAGTGTTCCCTCAGCATCGATCCCGTGTCTCTGGGCTGAAGTGTCTCTGGGCTGAACTCGCTGGCCCGGGGAGAGGATGACGCAATCCCACGCCAGGTTCCAGGCTGGGCTCTGGAACTAAGTCACTTGATCTCTCTTGGCCTTGGTTCTCGCATCTGTCAAAGGAGGTGGCGGGGGTGGGGGGCATAAATCTTTGGGGATCTTGGGCCTGGCTGGATTTTATCATACAGTTCTTGTGTATGTTTGTGTCAAAACAGAGGACACCTTGTCAAAGGCAAGAACTCTTCCTGAACTTCCTTTTTTAAAAAAACGTATCTGATTTGTTGGCTTAGAGATATCAAAAAGTGCCGCTCTGCTCCCTCTCCCCAAGCCAGTATCCCTTTTATTTGCATTTGTTTATAGTTCCATTTGCATGAGGTTTATGCCTTTCCAGATAAGAGTTCTGGCTCTTTTGATGAGCGCCTTTTGCTTTGCCTATTGCTTTGGGCATTTGTCAAGCCCTCCCCACTTTGAACTCTGTGTTTACTTGATGATTCGCAAACATCCTCAAGTCCCCCTGCCACCCGGGCCTCTCTTTGGGAGGGCCCTTGGTCCGGAGGGGTCCTCGAGCTAGCTCAGTGTGTCACGCGCTGGCCTTTCACGAGGCTCTGTTTTTCAAAACACTTATCATTTGCAAGTTTAGTTTTTAGTGCATGGACGCTAACAAATCAACAAATGTGGAATGGGTTGCATAGAAAATGGAACGAAAGGACACGATGAAGCCATTTCAGTCCATTCTAACTGGGAAAGGCACCCCCATCCTAGAGAGCTGCCCGAGTGACAGGCCGTCGGCAGCACCATCTCATTATGTGTTGGGCGTGTATTGTGTCTACACAACAGAGTCGAAAAGCTACTAGATCTAAAACTTAATCCCATAGCCTTTGCTCTCTTTTCTCTGAAAATGGGGGGGTCGTTGATTTTGCCTTTGATGTTTGAAGAGAAGGATTAAGCTGCTCTTCGCTTCGATCTGGCTCCCACTAAACGGGCCAGCTCCTCTGTTTCTAGGCCTCCCCTTTCAGGGACAGCCCGGAGCCCACTGCATACACTTTCTACTTTCCTTTGGGGTTTTCTAGTCTTTCGACCCATTTGCTTGGAGTTTTGCCCTAAGACTCGTACATAGAGAGACAGGGCTGAATCGTTTTGGGTCCTGAGGACAGTGGGTTCTGCCTTGTAGGAAGCTCTTTGCTTAAGAAGAAGACTTCTTATTTCTACCCTAGACTGGTTCTGGGGAGGGCGTTGAACAAGATTTTTAAACGGGGACAAGAAGAGGACAGGTCAGGTGGGGGGACTGGGAAGGTGAGGGTTAGGAAAGGGCTAGAAAGTTGTGGAGAGACAGCGCTTGGCCCCTTGTCTCCGAAACTAGTGAACGATGGTTTTTCTGGGCTTTAGGACTCGGCCTCCTTTCCCCTCGGGTGCTGGGAAATGGAGGCTGAATCGGGGGAGAGGGAGGTTCAGTTCTTCCAGAAGCGTTTGCAAAAGCCCCTGTCTGTGCTAGATAATGGAGGGAAGACACATACCCAGAGGACCTGCGGACTCCCAGGCGACTGAAGTCACCCACAGGCGTGCAGGTTTTGTCCAAGCGCCGGACCCACAGCCCCCGGCTAGTCGAGGGTCAGCGGGGGCTGCCGCCTGGCAGCGGGCCGCAGGCACTGCGAGCCGCGTCCCGTCCCTCCTGGCTCTCCCCGGCTTCCGGTCTCGCAGAGCTTCACCTCGCACCCTCCACGCAGCTCCGGGGGACCTGGGCAGCTCCCGCGTCGCTCGGGCCCACAGCCTCGGCCTCCACGTCTGCCAAGTGGCCCCGGAGCAGGGCAGGAAGGCGAACAGCGCCGGGACCCCGGGGCGGCGCCCCCGGCTCCCGGGGCCGTCTGCGCCCCTGCCCCGACGTCGACGTCGGGCGGCCCCGCGCGTGCACGCCGTGCGCACGCACGCACGTCGGGCACGTCGAGCGTTGCTGCGGGCGCCCCCGCGGGCGGCGGGCGGCCGGGCGCCCCCCGGCGTCTCAGAGGCCGCAGCGGCGGCCCGCAGGCCAGCGGGGGAGGGACAGCAGCAGGTGACAGCCGGCCCGGGGCTATAAATAGGGGCGCGAGTCAGCCGCGGGCGGGAGCGGCGACCGGCGCGCGGGCAGGAGGGCGCGCGCGGGGCCAGGGCCGGGCGGCGGCGGGCTGGGCGGCAGCATGGGCTCACGGAGGGTCGCCAGCGGAGCCTGGGGCGCGGGGGGACGGGCCGGGGCCCGGAGCTACCACGAGGACGACGGGCCCGTGTGGACCCCCAGCCCCACCAGCCGCAGCTACCTGCTCAGCGTGCGGCCGGAGACCAGGTGAGTCGCACCCGGGGGGGACGGCGGGGGCGGGAGGACCCAGGCCGCAGCAAGGCCTTGGGTGGGGTGGGGTGGGGTGGGGTGGGGTGGGGTCTCGGCCTGAGGAGGCCCGCCTTGGCCTTCCCGTCCTCTCACGTCCCTCACGGCCCCTCACGGCCTGTGGGCCTCAGGCCTCGCGCTACTCGAGGTTGCCCAAGAGGAGAAAGGGCCTCCTTGGGGCGATTTCAGAGGGGCCCGAAGGGTTCCTTATCTCCCCTGCCGCGCCCCGGCTCCAGGGCCCCTCGCCCGCCTGTGCCGGCTCCTCCCGGGCCTCGGATGCCACAGGGAGCGATAAGGAAGCCTGAGCGCCTGAAATTCCTCCGGGCTGGAAGGGAGGGGAGAGCTACACCAGCTGGGGGAGCGGGGGAGTGGGACATGGGGGAGCGCCCGGAGTGGGGGCTCCCAGCTGGGGCAGGGGTCACGGGGAGGAACTAAACCGATTCCAGGGAGGTTCTTCCTCTGGGCCCAGGACTCCGGTCTTCCTGGGATCTTTGTGGGGGCTGGTGGGGGGAAGGGGAGACAGGGTGGGATGGGGTGCTGGTTGGCCCTGTCCAAAGATTCCCAGTGTGTGGCTCCCGGGGAGCCAATCGCCCTGCCCAGTTTGGGGGAGCGGGCTGCCAAGGGAGGGGCTGAACTGATGTGCCCTCTACTCCTTCCTCTTCCAAGAGGGACGGAGGCGTGGGTGCTTTGTTTTAGGACCTGGGCTATCCCAAATATAGAGACGCGCAGACAGTAGAGAGGCAGACACACAGGGACACGTGCATTGCCACGGAGACGGGCACTTCCTGACCCCTCTGGGCAGCTGGTTTTCCCTCCAGCTCCCCAGCATATTTTCCGAAGGAAACTGTGACGGCTGGCTACTGGGATAGTGTCACAGCCCCAGGACTTGGCTTGTCGCAGAGCAGAAAACAGCCACTTGGAGAAGCTGTCTGGACACCTCTTGTCCTCAGTTCCTGAAACAGCACAAAAATAGGCATCAAGGACATTTAGGAAAAGTCCCAGGCACTTCCTCGTGAATTGGCTGAGTTCTGTTGACCTTGGAGTCGGAAAAGTTCAAATGTAACCGGAACCTGTTTCTGCATAAAACTCGTCAAATGGTGTCACATGTCTGGGGCAGGACTGAGGGCTTGTGTTAATGACTGAGTCAGACTGGACAAGGCCCCTGGCTCCCAACCTCCGGCTCTATGAAAAAAAATGAAGCAAAATTTGGTCGTTTATTCCACCCAGCCCGTGGTGGAGCCGACTGCCTTGTAGGGGGAACCTCACACTTGTCTCACATTTATCACGGGGACTTATCTGAGTTCTGCCTCCCGTGTCTGGCCTTCGTCCGTAGCGGTGGAACACGCAGGAGAGGGAAGCAGGGCCTTTCCTGGAGACAGCAGCAGCGGAGGGAGGGAGGGCGCGCGCGGGGCTAGTGGCTTTGAAACCGGCCGAACGGGGAGGGCCAGGGACCCGGGCTGTCAGGAGAACGACTGGGGGCTGGACACCGTTCGCTCTCCAGCGGCCTGGCCGAGCAGGAGTCTTGGCCCGGGTCCAGTGCCTTGCACACTCACTCGCAGGTGGAAGCTGCCAACCCGTCGTTTTCCTCTCTGAATTAGCTGATTCTCTCCCTCTACTTCCCAGGGAAGAAATCCAGACCCAACAAAGGAGAAATCTCTCGATTCTGAGGAGAAAGGCAAAGGAAGTTCATGGTCAGGAAAGGATGGAGTTGGCCAGTGCCTTGGAACCAGGGGAGCTTCCTCCCAGGCTGCCTCAGGAGGATGGTTAAAGCTCCGAGCAAAGGCAGCTGCATTCTTGCTTTTTTCTTTTTTGGAGCAGCAGTTCCTTCTGGGGGCGGGGCAGGACCCTTCCTGTTTGAAAGATGCACTTCCCTTCCTCCCCTCACTTGTCTTCTCTCTTTCTGTCTCTTCCTTCCTTCCACGAAACAGTTGTTGAATACCCACCATGTGCCTAGCACTGTGCTAGGGGCTGTAGAGGCTACAAAAAGAGCTGGATTTGAAGGCTGGGTGGTCGGGATTTAGTTGAGCAGAAGGGAAGAGAGAGGGCTCTCCAAGCAGGGAGGACAAACGTGAGGGCTCAGAGGCCAGCAATGGATGTGTCACGTCAGTTAGGGACACGCCTGGTTACTGTTGAATGTTGGGAAGCAGGGAACCGTGGTTCTAGTGGGAGCGTGGACAGATCGGGGGCCTGACGTGCCTGATCATGGAGTAGAAACTCAGTATGATATGTGGTGGGGGGCTGTAGCATTTTTTTTTTTTTCAGAGGAGGGGTGTGATATGAGGGGTGAAGGAGAACGGGTTTGAGATGGTCATCAGACATGGAGCTGTAAGGGCCTGGATGAGAACACAATAGCCGGAGTGGAGAGAAGGGGAGAGAGAAGGGCCAAATAGTGCTCATCAGCTGAACCTGGGGGTCGGAGGAGAGAGGGGGGTCCAGAATGGCGGGTTCAGAGCTTCGGAGTTGGGGTGAGTGCTGGTGGTGTCCACGTAGCCACTGGAGCAGAAGCCATGTTTGGGGCTAGAGGATGAATTTAGTTTTTTAATTTTGAAGAGGTAGGCTCTCAGTGGAGCTTCCTCGAGGTTAGAGATGTAGGCCGTGAGTGCCATTGAGCAGGCTGGGCTGCTGACAGTGAACGGCAGCTAGTCCCGTGGTGGGCACAGCGGCAAGGAGCGATGTGCATGGGGCGGCCCTGCCGTCTCCCGGAGAGCTCTGGGAAGTGGTGGCCCTGGACGGTGATGTGGATGGGGTGCCCCTGCCATCTCCCAGGGAGCTGTGGGAAGTGGTGGCCCTGGACTCCGCTGGAGGTATTTGCATTAGGAAGGCGGGGGAAGAGGTAAAAAGTTGGCTCATACCAAGCGGGCTGGGTCTTCTCTAAGGGGTAGCCCTAGGTGGGCCCTCTCGCCTGCACAGCCCCTAGCTAGTGTCCACTCTCAGCTGCCCCAGGGCAGAAGGGATGTCCAGGGCTCGAGGCACAACAGGCCTTGTGCTGGCCTGCCCGAGCTGGGTGCCTCCTGGCTCCTGCTGAGTTAGCCGCTTGGTCTTCTCTCCCTCTTCTCCACCGTCCCAGCTGGTGTGCCTTGTGTGGCCTCTTTAACTGAACTTTAACACATTAATGGGCATTCTCCGAGCCACCTGTCTCCTTCCCAGCTTCTTAGAGGATTTCCAGGGATGGGGGCTCTCTTCCCCCGAAAGCTGAGAGCTGAAGCAGGGGCCGCCTGCCGGCTGGTGTGCCGCAGGCTCAGGAGCTGTGCCGGGCAGCTCTGAGCCCCCCTCTTGGGGGCAGTGACTGAACTGCCTGGGACACATCTTTCCCAAAGTGCAGCCCTTTCTGCCTAACTGTTTCCCTGGACTCTGCTGCGTTTAACGAGCTCTTGGTTTCGGACAGACTGGTGTGCCGCGGGGAGGCCACTTGCTAACCGGAGCAGGCTGGCCGGGACAGCTGGGCCCTTTTAATAGAAAGGCCTCTGGGCCCCAGATGATGGCCGGTCAATGCTCCGCAGACGGTTGTTGATTCCGCCGCCGCCTCCTCCTCGCTTGTTTGGCCTAATGATTCCGTTTGCTGTTTTTGCTTAGCTTATCGAGCAGCCGGTTGTCTCACCCCAGCTCTGGAAGGTAAATGCATATTGCATTACATTTCTCTGACTGCTTTTTTCTCGGGTGTGGACGCTGAGGGGCCTGTGGGTGACTGACTGCTTGTGCACTAACCAGGCTGCATGGGGGGAGGGGAGGACTGGGGGGCGGGTGACAGGGTGTGAGAGGCACTCACAGGAGCATGGGTCTCACAGGGGCCACGCTTGATGCTTGCATGGACCGTTTGAAAGGGGCGCAGAGGCCCAGAAACGGGCGAGGGTCCTGCGGCACCTGCGCTGTGTCTCTGTGCCCCGGGGACAGGCGCTGTGGGACCAGAACTGGGTTTTCATGGTTTTTGTAACCACGTATCTGGGTTTGACACCTTATTGCCCACCTTCTGACCAGGACTATGGCCGTACATTATTTTTCTTCAGTCCTTTATGTCCTCCTACCACCTCTCACTCTGAATTCCCTTTCCTGTGACTCCTCTCCACCCCTGCAGCCTGCGGCCTCCGGGAGGTCCGGGGACACCGCGTTAGTGTCTTCCTGCGTTAGCTTGTTCTCCGAACCCACTGCAGAGCCACAGCAGGGCCCGAGCAGGCCACAGACGAGGTTTGCCCGGGGAGTGGCTGTCCTCTTGCCTCCCGAGCCGGGGGCCTCTCTCTAAACTGCTGGCTGAACCATTACAGTCAAAGTTGGAGCATTCCCTGTTTGGTGCTCCTTTCAGACTGGCAGATTTGGGGAGAGTCGGCTGCAGTTTCTTTACACAGAGAACGATGTCTAAGTAGCTAACTGGCTTCCATAGCTAATGATGTCTTCGGAGGTGAGGAGCACCTACCACGCAGGTTTCCTTTGATGGGGGAGGAGTGAGGAGCCTGGTTCTGGATGGGAGAAAGGCTATTGCAGCTAGGTCACGGTGGCACCTGGTCCGTGCTGAAAGGTGGTCTTGGAAGTTCCTTTACAGCAAGGCAAAACAACCCACCCAAGGCCAGGGCTGGCTTCCTGTGAACACCATGGGAAGCGAGGATCCTGGTGTTCTCGGGCGAACACGTGACTGGGCTGTGACAGCCGCGTGAGGTCACCGAGCTGGGAGGACTTGGAGGTGTGGGGTGGGGACAGACCGTCTCCAGATGTGTGGGCTTCCTGGCTTTCGCGGGGACTGGAAGCAAGCAGCACACCTACTCCGTCCCACGTCCCCACGGTTTGGAGGGTGGGGACAGGAAGCACGTGACATTCAGCGGAACACGACAGTGCGAGCAGTTACTGTCCCCGGACATGCACCCCAGGCCCACTCCTCCCGGAGGGCTCTCATTCAGGCCCAGCTCTCAGTTACTGTGTTTTCCCAGTGTGAACGCTCTTTTCTAATACAGCGTAGGGCGTGCTGTGAGAAGCATCTTTCCCGTCCAAAACAGGCGGTGAGACCGGACCGGTCCCTGCTGAGTGTCCCGCACGAGCACTCGTCTCTGCAGGTCACCGCGGAACTTGGTTCCGTGTCTTCTCGCTCACCCAGAAGTTGAAGTTATTTTCTTAGACTTGCCCACGCAGCTTAGCCCCTGAGAGCCCAAGCTGGATATTAGATCCAGGCTCGTGTTCGTGAGGAAGGTGGGATTCGAGCTAAGCACGGAGGACATCATTAGGAATGTCTTGAATCAGTTGCAGAATCACGGAAGTGGGATTGCTTTTGGCACGGCCGTCTCTTCTGGGAGCGGTGGGTTGGGACTTAGGGTTCCCCGAAGTCAGCGGTCGCTGTTCGTGAGAGCAGCGAGGGGCGGCCATGTTTCCGGGGTGTCGGGGGTGGGCCGCCCAGGTCCCGAAGGCCCCTCCGTTTCTGGGCGGATTGGAGGGAAGGGAAAGGACATGTACGGACAGGTGCGTTGTAGGTGCGGGTGTCTCGGGGAGCGTCCTGGAAGTCTGACTGCACCCTCACTCAAGCGCCCGGTCACAGGGAAGGCCAGAGCGCCCTGTCTAGGTCGTCTCCACCCTCCCGTAGGGCCCAGACATCGGCGTCCCTGCTCAGAGGCCAGGGCTGCTCCCTCGGCGGTCCAGGCGCTCCCCCTGGGACGCAGCCCGTCCCCTCAGACTCCAGTCCGCAACGGCGTGCACGGCAGCGACAGATGGACCTGGAAGGGGTAGAGCTGCAGCGCCTGTCTGCTGTCCCACAGACGCTCTGTCTGCCCTCTCCTGGGGAGGAGGTCGTGGGGAGACACCCACTGCCTGGGGGGTGACCACCCCCTGCTCCGAGGCACAGAGAAGGGCAGCTTTGGGTGACTTGTCTTTCTCGTCGCAGTTGCCCCCGCTGCTCACGATAGGGCATGTGGATTTGGAGGGGGAGGGCTGGGCACGGCTTGTGCACCGAGCACCCTGGCTGTGTGGTCACGCTTCATGCCTGGGGACGCCTGAGTCTCTGCTGGCCCACGCAGAGGTTTGGTGTGGTGGTCTGCTTCCCCTGCCCAAGAAGGAGCGGACTGTGAATGCTGGGCAGTGTTGATGCGTCTGTGCTGGACTCCGTGTGACGGCAAATACCTCTGAATTCTGGGAGAGGGACTGTCACAGGGAACTGCAAGTCCTGTTTGCAGCTTGGCAGTCCTGCTGGCTGGGCCTGGAGCTGCCAGCCACGTGTCCCCTTGAACGTGTGGTCTCCGGGAGCAGAGCGGGGGCCGTGGCTGGCTGCCCGCAGCGGGTCCAGAGCCCTGTCTAGGGTCAGAGTTCATGTGAGCCCCTCTTTTCCAGTGCCCCTAGGAACTGGGGTCTAGGCCCCTGGCGTGGACTGGCTTATTCTTTGTCTGCTACGGGTCTGTGCTCACCAGTGCAGGGTCTTTGTTGTTCCCGAGCCCGAGCTCAGGATAGTCTCCTGAGCGCCTGGGACCTATGTGTCCTCCAGGATTGACCGGGTTCCCCTCTTTGGCCCAAGTGGCGGCTCTGCTCTGAGGGGGTCTCCCTCCCTGAGGCTGGGTCTCCCCATGGGCGAGCTTCCCTGGTAGAAGGTGGGGGGTGAAGCAAGGCCCCTAACAAGGATGGGGTTGGGGCGCCGGGGCGCCAGGCCGGCGTCCGGCGCACTCAGCGGTCTGGCCGGTGGTCAGCAGCCTTCCTGCTGTGGTGGGCCTGGGTCCGGGTTCCACTCAGCGCCTCGGCGCCTTGGCTGCCGACACCTGGCCGAGAGGCCTGGGCTTCCTTGAAGAAAGACTTGACCAGGTGCTGGCCATGGCCCGGATGGCGGATGGACACGGTAAGGCTGAAGCTGCCTGGGACACACCGGGCTCCGGTGAACTGGGGGAGGCTGCTCTGAGTAGTCCTTTGCCTTTCCTAGGAGCACCTTCTGCTCCATCATCGCTCAGCTGACAGAGGAGACGCAGCCGCTGTTCGAGACCACGCTCAAGTCCCAGGCCGTGTCCGAGAACAGCGACGTCAGGTTTACCTGCATCATCACAGGTAACTCGGCCGCCTCTCCGTTCTGTCCACAGAGCGGGCCCGAGGGCACTGTGGAGACGGGGCACGGAGGGGATGGGCTGTGCGTGCCCACCCCGGTCCATTTCCTGTCCGGCTCGTCTCCCTGCGTGGGCTGCGCTCCCTTGGCCTCCCGTGCTGGAGCCGCCCCACCCTGCCCCTCTCGGAGACCCAGCCTGCCTCCAGCTAGGGCCCCTGGCCCCAAGGCACGCGCGCGCACGCCCGACTCTGAGTTCCGGGAGAGGGAGCTGTTCAGTTGAAAGGCGTCTTTGAAGCCCTCTCCCCAAACCTCCCTGTTTTACGAGTTGAGTGGTTTGAGGCTTGGGAGTCTCAGGCCTGGAGACGGTGATGGACGGTGATTCTGACGGCAGGCCCTGGAGACAGACCGCCTGGCCTGGAGTGCCGGCCCGTTCCCTTTTCCGCTGTGTGGTACGGAGTAAGTTAAATAACCTCTCAGCGCCTCGTCTGTCAGGTGGGGATGATCGGAGCATGAAGTTTGTAGGTTTATTGTGAGACTGACTGCGCGTCACCTGCACAGCATTTGGAACGTACCTGGCACCCAATAAGTACCATGTGAGTGTCAGAAAATAAGCCAGTGTCGTTTGTGTTTCATGGAGCTCCGTGGTAGGGTTGGAAGCAGCGGGTCGGTGGATGAGGAGGCAGAGCGGTGCTGCTTGGAAGGGGTGGGTGGAGGGTTGGAAAGCAGGAGCCGGGCGTTGCCCCTCCCCCAGGCCTCCCCGCAGACTCTCCCACTGCACCACCCTGACCCACGTCAGGCCGTGCAGGGCCCACGTCAGGGCCCAGCCTGCCCCTGCCAGCTGTGTAGCCAGCAGTTCAAGGGCTCCGGGTCAAGGTTCCCTCCACAAGTGCATATTTTGTATCAAGGGCATTGGTAGTTTCCAGCCGTGGCACGCCCTGATTCTGGGGGACTTGTCTGCTCCAGCCAGCTAAACCACTTCCCCGGGACTGGGTTCCCCTGGGTGGTTCTCGCCCGTAACCTAGGACCCTCTGAGCTCCAGTGAGAGCACCGTCCCTTCCAGGAGACACAGAGAGGTGCCTGCATCCCTTACCTTTGTGCAGCATAACACGTTTTGCAGTGTTCATGTGGTTCCATCATCACTGAAGTTTTACACAACCCCCTGAAGTGCTGTTATCTGTTGGGTTTCACAGAGAAGGGAGCTGGAACAGTTCCCACAAAGCTGGGAGGAGGAGAGACGGCTTTTGCTCTGCAGCCTCAGGTGCCGCCTGCACACACCCGCGTCTCCTGCCTTCCCGCGGCACTGGCGGATGGGTGTGGCTGCACTACAGCTCCGTGCTTTCACGTGTGCTATTTTCCCCACGTGGAGAGCCCTTAATCCTTCTTTTTAAAGAAAATTAAATTTTATTTTACCAAAATAAAACTAACACATGCATATCATTTAACACTCCAAATTATACTAAAAAGCATATATCAAAATAGAGCACTTCACTCCTTCCTAGAAGCAGCTGTTTTCAGCTTTTAGCTGAGGCTTCTGGTGTGCATACATCTCTGCAACACTGAGCAATATGTGACTGCTGCCAACTTCTTCTTCTTACACCCTCACCTGAGGATGTGTCCATTGATTTTTAGGGAGAGGAAGAGACAGACAGACATTGATGTGAGAGAGAAACATCAATCAATTGCCTCCTATACACTCTCTGACCAGGGATCGAACCTGCAACCTAGGTATATGTCCTGACCAGGAATCGAACCTGTGACTTTTCAACGTATGGGACAACGCTCTAACTAACTGGGCCACACTGGTCAGGGCAATACTGCTGACTTTTGGGTCTTCAAGTTTAGATGTTATCTAGTCTTCTTTTTATGGTAGATGAAGAATTAATTCTCTACCATAATTTTCTCTGCTATCCATGTTTATTTCCTCAATATAATTATAATTTTTGCTCAAATCAGTATTTGCTGTGTACCTTGTTATACCTGCACAACATTATTCATAACTGACATTGTAGTATCCTATGATTGTATTTCTTCTGTTTTTCCTTAAGTTAATACTCTATTAGAAAGTACTAACTAATTTGGTACTAACTAGTTTTTCATTTAATTAGTTCTTGGTGTCTGTTGCTGATTTTTCTTATACCCTCTAGTGGCTTTCTAGTACCGTCTTCTGCTGGGTCACTGCACTGGCTCTCTGTCAGTTGCCTCCTTGGAGACGTTCCTCTCGCAGATTTCCAGTCTTCCGTCTGCGCTGAGGCCCGACCACCGCTGTCCTCCTGGGCCTCAGCCTTCCTTCGTCCAGGTCTGCTGCACCGCCGCCCCGAACAGCGTCCTGCAGGAGTGCCGGCAGGGCCCGGGGGCGGCACGGCGGCCAGAGGCCTCGTGATGCCCGGCTCTCGGCCCATCCCTCCCAAGCTGTTCCGCCCCGGCGGGACTCGCTGCTCTGTGTCCGGTGGGCGGTGGGCGTCCTAGGATCCCCCTTCCCCGTCATCTGGTAGATGCCCTTCATTTCTTCCCCGGAATCAGTTTCCTGTGTTTCGTATTCCACATTTCTCTCCTCCTTGACTTACATTTTCATGCCGGTAATTTCCTAGGAGGGTATGTGGGAAGGAGGTGCTAGAGAGCTCGGGTCTGAAAGTCTTGTTTTCTCTGGTTCACGCGTGGCAGTTTGGCTGGGTATGGAAGTTGAAGTTGGTACTAATTTTCCCTCAGAATTTCGAAGAGATTGTTCCATTGCCTTCTTGCTCCTCGTGTCACTGTTTGGAGCAGTAGGAGCTCCAAACAGTTTGGTTCCAACTTCTTTGCATGAGACCATCCCCCCCCCCCCCCCACCCCAGTAGCTTGTAAGAAAGCCCTGCTGTTTCATAACGGTGTATCTTGATATGCGTCTCTCTGCGCCCTGGGGCGTGCCTGGGCACTTCCCGTCTGGAAACTGAATGCCTTCGGTTCTGGGACATCGGAGATTATTTTGACGTTGGTTCTTCCCCCGTCTTCTCTGCCCTCTCTGGAACCCCCCCAGTGTGGGCACCTGCTCCCGAGGACTGACTGTCTCATTTTCCGATCCTTCTGTCCCTTTCATCTGTTTGTCCTTCTGCTCTACTCCCTGGGGCGTCTCCTCACTGCTGTCTTTCAGGGCTTCTCATCCTCAGCTTCTGAGAGCTCTAGTGAGGTCCTATTCTTTCCACAAGTGTGACATCTTCTGCTTACTGTCTGAGACTAGTAATGATAATTTTCTAAAAAGTTTCTGTCTCCCTGTGTAACTTGCATTTTTTATCGTTGACTTTTTCTACTTATTTTTGGTCCATAATCTTCTATTTACAAGCTTTCCTCAGACAGCTAGGAAGTGATGGACAAACGATGACTAAAAAGCTGATGGGAAGTTCTAAGCAGGTCGGAAGGGCCTGACCTCTGGGGTCTTCCCCGCAGGGCGGCTTGGGTGGGCGCCGTGGGGGACTGCCAGTGTTTCTGCACTCCCTTCGTCTCGGACCCCACAATCCCCTAGGGGACGGTCCCCCAGCATCTTTTCCGGGGGGTGAATGCTTTATGGGAAACACACAGATTAAAGGTTGAGTGGGCGTTCTGCATGAAACTCTCACTGTCTACATATGGTTATTACATTTTCCTCTCTTCTGCGGAGTAGGCGTGCCCTCAGCTGGCTTACCCTCAGGGCAGAGTTTTATCTTTCTGGTTATAAACCTCAGCTTTGGCTGCAGCGGGGAAGGAGCCGTCACCCAGTGGTGCCAAGTGGGTGAGGGGACCCAGAGGTCTGGTGGTTTTTCAAGCACCTTTTTACATTTTTCCTCCTCCTTTTCCCCCAGTCCCGGGTGCCCGTCGTGGGCAGTCCTTACACCCTTTGGGGGTTTTCTGGTGTGCGGAGCGGGGCCCTCAGCTCCCCCCTGCTGGCGCAGGGTCCAGCTGCCTTGGGTCTGCTGGGGAGTTTCTGCGCTCTCCCGCTGTTGTCGCCCGTCGCTCTCCTCGCCGGTTCTCCCCTCACTTGTGCCTTTATGTCTGAGGAAGAGTCTCGTTGGCATGGTCTGGGTGGTTTGGGGGGGAGAGGGAAAGTACAGGGTCTCCTTGTTGGGCCTTTCTGCCGAGAGGCCCACTCCTCCGTGGCCTGGCGGATCCCTCCTCATCTTGCAGGGCCCAGCTCAGAGGCCGCGTCCTCCGGGGATCGTCTTCGGTGTGTGCACGGTGAGCTCTTGCTCACTCCCCCGTGGCACAGCGTGTTTGCACGTCTCTCTCTCCCCACCAAGACTGACTGCGAGGTCAGAGCTCACACCCGACACATCGCGCCTCTCGGGCGCCGGCACAGGGGAGGCACTCGGTCCACGTTCGCCACATGGCCGTGCTGTGAACAAGCCCGGATCTCGCCCACTTTCCACGCCGCCCGTCCGTTCCCGCTGCAGCCTCGGTGCCTTGGCAACGGCACCTGCTGTGGGGGCCTCGGGCCCCTCGAGAGGTGCAGGCTCGGGGACGGCTCTCCCTCCCCCCGTGTCCTCTGCCCTTTGTAGCCGTGGACTCCGAGAGGCACACGGAGAGCCTGACGTGAGTCTGACTTCCAGAGTCTTGGGGTGTTTCATCGCATACCTGATGTCATCACGGCAGCAAGTGTTTCCGTTTCAGGCCCCAACCCAAAGGAGCAAACTCTCCTCCCCCCAGTTGCCATGATACCCGTGTCCATGCGACCAGCCAGGGCCAGGGCTTCTACTTGGGAGCCCCTCCCCTGCTGAGATCTGCGGCACTGTCACGGGCTGGGCCCTCGGACCGCTGGGGCCCCAGCGATCTCCGACCTCCGCACCCTTGCCCAGTGCTGTGCCTAGCTCCCTCTCCCCTTCCTCACCTCCACACACACACGCAAACCCTCAGGCCAACCGAGCTCTATGCAGCAGACCAGGACAGAGTTGTCTGTGGCCACCGCGGCACACTGTAAACAAGCCATTTCCCAGTAGCCAGGAGAAAAGGGAAAATGTAGACTGGCTAGGAGAGGGGAGGCTGGGAAGGGGGATGCGGG